AATATTGCACGGGAAAACTGAAGTAGCGGAAACAGTTCTCGGAAACAACTGACCACCGTGGTCCGCAACGATACTAGTCATTTCCTACTACACTCACCACACTTGGATTTGCATTGAATTTTACTAGCACGTAAAACTCGATGCAAACGTGTACATTCAAATTTTGAAAATGCTACGGAATATTATAAATAGGGGTTTAGACGTTTTACATCAGCCCCTTGTGACCTCCGCGAATTTTGCTGGCGAAGTTTTGTATCGTCAGTACTACGAACGTTCAGAGACGTTAATCAAGTGGTGTCAGGTTTCGTAGCGTGTTCTTTCGTCCAACACAAAGGTCGACTATCATATCAGTTCTTTTCTAATTTTAGAAGTGCACTGTGACACGTTCTTACGAATCCCGTCAGTCGTGATCTACTGAATTTTAGAACTGAAGAGTACCTTACATAGTGCATTTGTCAGTAATTTTTATTTTATTTTATTTTTGCTGCCTACCAGTATTATACAAAACATGATTTCCATTGCAAAAGGGATGTTGATTTAATTATTTTTTTGACTCTTTCTATTTTGTTCCGATCGTTTAAAACATAACGCAACCCTGAAATCATGTTCTATGAATAGAATCTTTTCAAGAAATGCGCATCAACAATACTAGTATTTGAATCATTGAAGCCAGTTTTGGACCTTTCCGAACTTTTTCTGAAATATTTTTCGCCCAGCAAGGCCTTCCAGGCTATTGAGACCCTGGCGACAGTTAGGCTGATAGCGCCTTCGCGGCCAAGTCCGCCTGCGGGCGCGGCAGCGGCAGGCAGTTCGGTCACGACCGGTCCGAATACTCATTGTCGCAAATCATTGTGAGTTTCATATCATTAAAAAGTACTTCTATGCGTTTCGCTGAACAAACTGGTCAAAAATTCATGACAATCTTAGTATCCCACACGTTGCTTGTTAGAATGTAGTTCATTTTTTCTGTGCTGGCTACAAAATATTACAAATTATTGTAGATAATACTACACGTGCTTTGGAAGTTGTTGATAAATCCCGGCACGCAAAGGGAGAAGTTTTATTTTAGAATCCAAAGTAGGTAATAGGACTATTCCACGAATAAAATTACGTCCAACAGTTCCAAATATTGAAAATAACGGACACACATTAAAATCAGAGGTTGTTGTAGTACATACGCAGATTATTGCGCATCAAACTGTTACGTACCACCTCCAGGATAGAAGAGTCGAAGTTTATAATGTCAGAAAGAATGGGCGTTGAGAAAAATCGGATAGACAAAGCTAAACCTTTTTAAAGATACACCGCCCTGATTAGGGCATTTTATATCTGTAGTTAAAGGCTATTAATTTTAATATCACGAGTGGAATAGACTATAAAACCATAAGAATTACCTAGAAAAAAGTAAAAAATCTCGCAAGGATCCGTTCCACATACTAAAACTCGGACTAGCCAAAATTGGAGTCATGCATTCGACACCTTAAGTTGATGTAAAACAGTAAATATCGTACAGGAATCTAACGTCGATCGTTCTAGTGCTTGTCTGTAGTTAAGGAGAAAACTCCCCCCCCCCAAATATACATAAACTAAAACGGAACAAATCTTATTTAGTACACTACGGTTTTAGTACGTAAGCTTGAGCGCTTGTGGCTTTAAGTACGTGGCTTGAGTACGTAAGCTTGAGAGCGGTGTGTTGAGGGTTGCATATCTCCTTTTCTTATCTTTTTTTACAGATTTCAAAGGCATGCAGAAATTGAAAGAAAATAATGCAATTTCTGCCCCTTTGGCAAGTGTCTGTATGTAATTACACAGATTCAGATATTGCCCGTACCTAATTAATTCCCGTACTCAGTCCCGAAGTAATGATACAGCAAAGCTTCAGTCATTAAATTTCTCCTATTGTCACGTTACGTTGTGGATCAACCTTTTATGTTCTTGAAAAAAGTGAGCTGTATACGTAATATTTTACCAAACTGGGTTGTTGCAGAATTGGAAGGTCATTCGCTACCGAGCAATTGCTACAGTCGCGGAGTTGTCCTGCAATTCAATTAAATGTAAATGACTAATGTCGAGTGACGTAAATCAAGCCTCGTTTCTGCCTGGCCCTTATATTAACACTCAACACAAGATTTGAGAAACATGGTTCTCTGGGTCACGGTTGCGTACGTGAAAAAATCCTTCGTGTTTTCATCGCCCGGTCATGTGCCTTTTTGGTATGGGTGACGCTACCAGTACTGGTCACTTGAAGCAAATTTGGAAAAATATTGGAGGCTTCAGACTTTCATCAATTTTCCATGACACGGAATTTGAGCCTTCTAGTAGTCAGGATTATGGCAAAGATACTTCACCGTATTTTGCAATTGAAAAAGTTGAAAAGTCTTAATATGAGCATTACAATAAAGTGACGTGAACCGGTACTTCTTTTTGGTCTCGATGTTTTCGGGAGTTGGAGTAGAGCATCTGACCACTCCTTACATCGATTTGGAAATTTTAGAGTGGGCACTGTAGAAAATCGGGCCCTGGGAAGTAAATTAACAACTATAAATTGGCCATTTTACACAATAAACTAATCAATGACGAGGTGTACTAATCGCTCGTTTTACACATTCAGCACTAAAGATAAAGAATTTGGAGTAAATGAAGAAAAGGTTTCTGTCTGGTCTTACTGGTGCTTTAATCCACCTCCAGGCAATGGTGCTCATGCATAAGGGGAGGTTTCTTTAATGGCTGTCAGATAAGAGATTGTTTCTCAAAAGTGCTTGTGGGTCTTTATTCCCCGAGCACCTGCGTAACTTCGGACTTGCAGTATTGGATTTCAAAATGTAGACGCACCTTAACTTATCGGAATTAGTTTTTTATGCCACTGCCTATGCGTCTGCAGAAGCAGGCGTAGTTCGTGGATCGCGCGGTCATGGTAATAAAACACGACGAAAACACGGGAATTGGAAGGTGTCTACTACGAAGGCAATGTGCCTAGAAAATTTTCAAAAATTTATTTTTAGTCGGGAATCCACACTTGCATGGTTTCGTATTTCGCACGTATACCTGATTTGGTATCTCTTTGCATTTTCATATGGATAAAATCCAATTCTTGTACTCATTCGAAAAACAAAAATATTCCGTGAATTTTTCTCTAGCGACCTTTTAGTAAATCACCCAAGCATTCAAACTTCCGATAGCATACAAAACGGCATTGTTAACCAATTCAGTCATGATCATGATCATGCCCTTGATCAATAATGATATTAAGGAACTCAATAGATTGCATTATATACATTGTATTGTAAGTACCTGCATTATATAAAGCAATTTTTTTTAAAGTCCTCTTCCTTTCACTGACGTCAACATAATTCAAAGAAGGTAAGCTTAGACTTAAAGAGCTTGGGCTGGAAATTTGGCGGCTCTTGGTCGTATAAGGTTTATGTGTGTAATAAAACAATTAGATTCGATAAAATTTATTATTGTCCATTTAAATACATGAAAACTGGCAATGTCCTAATCCCTAATCCTCTTTGCTGGAAAAAAATACTTGAATTAAAATGCCAGCATCGCGGGTTGTAGTGTTAAAGCATGACCTGAGAAAAGTATTTTCTATTGGCCGAAGGTGTGAAATTTATCACTTAATACCTTGTGGGAAGGAAGCGTTAATTCTAATGTCTGTTTTGTCATTCACATACTGATTAAAAATCTCAGCCTACAGCAAAAAGTGGTAGATTTAAAAAAAAGTCACAATTCGATTGTTTTGTACGTTATGTTTGAGGCGGAATCGATAGAAAAGATTAGTCCGGAGTGGCCACCCTGTGATGCCTTGTGGTTTTGAAATTGGCGATCTAAATATAACTTAATTTAGTTTTGTTAGTTTCACCATTTGATTCCCCTCGTGTCCATTAATAATACAATCGAACTCACCAGTTCGTCCCATCTTTTAACAGCTAAAATTGCTATTAGGAGTGAACAACCATTTTCATCAATAAAAGAAAGCTAAAAGAGAATAATTGACACCATTCAGGATTCTTTGCAGCTTTCAATAACTAGTTTATTCATTAAAAATATTAAATTGCCTATAAAATATCAACCTTTTATTGAATAGTTTGCAGAAGATATGCCTGGCAAGAGAGCATAAATGACAACATACTAGTTTCAACCAGGTCCAGCTATAGGGGGCGTCTTCTCGGGGAGTTCTTTCCTAAGTCTCTACAGTACTGGTCTCTAGTCATTTTCTCTAAAACAAACTTTAACCGTAGTACCACAAGGGTTCCCGACAGCAATAGCAATCTCGTACGAAGAATAAACTAACACGATTGTATATCGGTGCTCCAATAAACCTTAATTTTAAACTGGCAGACAGATGGAGTTACCGTATTCTCCCTTAGCGAAACCTATTATGTCCATCTCTATTTTCTAAACTTGCCCATGAACCATTAGGTAGCAATAATTCTAGTGTGTAAGACATATCCGAAAACGTACGTGGCAAATTGTTAAATTTCCAGCCATATTACTTAAATGATTTGCTTCTTATTTGATTACATTATGTAGTATATGTATCGAATTACATAATCACTGTCAAGCTCAATACTAATTCTTGAATAATATAAAATATAAAACCAAACAACCTACAAAACGAATATCATTGAATATTACGTTTACAGTAATGTCACAATTACGATTTATTTGCAATTTGTTTCCTCTTCATATTCTGTTGCATTACAATACGAAATAAAGTAGTTAAAGGAAATCTCGTGTAGCGGTGTTCAACCATTTGTGATGTGACGTGACACGACCCATGTACCGGACGTGTACAATGTAATATTTGCACGTGTACAATGTAATATTTGCACGTGTACAATGTAATATTTGCACGTGTACAATGTAATATTTGCGCGTGTACAATGTAATATTTGCGCGTGTACAATGTAATATTTGCGCGTGTACAATGTAATATTTGCAAACGATCTTATCAGAAACTAAACGAAGTTAAATTGTGGCTTCTTTTGTTGCAGGAACTTCAATTACACAGTGACGTCTGATAGCGAAAACAACACGCACAGTAACTACTCTTCAGGCGAATCGGACAACAATAATCTCAGCCGGCAGGCGTACGAGTTCCTGCCACAGCCACAGCTCCAGCCCCAGCCCCAGCCTCAGCCACAGCCGCCCCCGCAACCCTTTCCCCTGCACTCTTTCTTCTCTGTGCACTGGGACCGCGACATGAACAGTCAACAACAAAGGTGTGTATCGCCATGACCTCCTAGGAGTTGTCCATATATTACGTAAAGTTGAATGGGGAGTGATGATGCAGCGTAACGGGAAGTAGTGTTAGCTCAGTGTTACATAACTAATTTTTTTTTATTTAAAAAAAAAAAATCCTGAAACGATTCCTTTCATTCAATCGCATATTTAAACATTAAGACATTAATGACGAATTTTGATTTAATTTGTTAATGTCCTGTAAAATAGAGCAATTATTGAAATAAGTTAGATTCCATTACTTGTAATTTTATTGGAAACTGGAGGTTGTTTTGATTGTAGAAATGAGAATTGGTCGAAAAACTACGGTGCTTGGACGGTTGTATTGCAGAAAATGTTTCATTTCATAAGTTCCACATTTCTGCGCGGCAGAAGTCTTCCAATTGTACAGAACAAATATTGGAATTTTGTTATTATTCCAGTGCAGTGAAATCTTCATAAAATTCTTCGCGCCGTTTCAATTATTCTTGGTCTTTTTTATACAGTCTAAATTTATTTATTGTTGCATTTGATACCCTATTTAGATTTATATTCCCGAACATTTATAATTCGGCCCAATTGTTACTACCCAAACATATTTAGTTACTGCGCCATATTCTACCAGATTTCACCGCGTTCCATAGCCCTCAAGGATATTGCGTAAGCGACATCATCAAAATTCTGGTAAAAGATTTCAGTGAAATTCAGCATGCTGATTGTACATATTGGAGATTTGCATGCATTTAAGTTTTTTTCTCAATTTGTGAGGGATTAATGATCCTTCTTTTTACAATAATTCTGTAGTAGGCACGGAGTCAAAAGGTTAAGGAATTAGTTACAATGTACACTGAGAATTATACCCCCAAACGTTGACAAGTCTTTTTTGTTGTTATTTTATGGCTTTTAACAATAGCAATCTCTTAATTGTACTTCTGGTGTTTTAGTAGATTTTCATTAGGGGGGGGGGGTATTTTACCTTCTAATGCCTATTTTTTTGCCTTTTTTTTTTTTTTTTTTTTTTTTTTTTTTTCTTTCTTTCTTTCTTTCTTTCTTTCTTTCTTCGTTTTTCTGTCTTTTATATCATTCTGCTTTTTCCTAAATATTAGGTATATATTTATAAGCCTGGCTAATACGAAGCCACGGTCATTTTTTTTTGAAAGCAGAGGCTATGTTAAAAATTTAAATGAAAAAGGAAGATAATACCAGTTAAGGTTTTATTTATTCTTAATTTATTCTTCTATTGATGCTCCTATAGTCTTGGTTCGCTCACGAGGAATCCCATCTCGTTCAGGTTTTCATCCAGTTTCCCTGATCCTCGAGCAAATGGAGGTGGCCCCTTGTTTTACTTCTGGACATAAATGTAACTTCCAATTAACTTCTCCCCATAGCATGTCACAATTTGTAACCGTTTTTGACGTAAATAAAGAGTTGGTTTGAAATCGCTTTCGTTACACAACTGCAAAGAACGAAAAATATAATTTCGTGTTCAGTGATGCCATTTCAAGATTCAATAAGAGATTTGTGTCCAAATTTCGCCATTTTCTGACGCACATTTAAATTACTCTTACGTACATAAGGGCGAGAAAGTGAAAGGAGTCCACAATAGCATTTCGAAGAGACAGCGTCAAGAGTAAAACATATTCGTAGCAATCATACCGGATTGCGATGTGCAATCAAGATTGCGCGCACGATTTTCTTACAGGTTTGGTGCTAATGTAAATTTTCGAGTAAGAATAAAGATGTGAATCATTTTAATATACAAAAAAATATATATTTTTAAGTGTGATTTTTCATGGTTTGCTTTTTACATTGTTTTTAAATGTGGTTTTCATTCATCGTTTATTTTGTTCATTCAAGGTACACATGTTTCATTATCTACGTACTCACAACTTTAACTACAATAAATACCTTCTTGAATGCCTGTTCTCGATAAAATAAGTGACTGAACATCCGGGTTCTACTGATTAGTAATGTAGGTCGTAAGAATCCAGTTTTCTATAGAATGAGATACTCGAGTAATGTTATACAAGTCAAATATTCTTGCAAGGTTGTAAGGTGATATTCAGGGCTCGGATTATGGCCTAAAAATTCTTTGGAAATGACAAAAAGACCTAAAGTTAAGAGAAATATGATCAGAAAAAAACTTTTTAAAAAAGGGCAAGTTCCCTCTTTTTTAATACTCAAAAATTTGTATAAAATGTTAAGTTATTCAATGAATTTTACAAATGTAAATAAAATTTATTCATATAAAATTAAGTTCAATATGAAGGCTTCAGTTTAGGAGGAAATGCAATCCTTAGCTTCCATCTTCCAACCGTCCGTCGGTTTTGAAAGTTCCAGAAAGTTACCGAAGATTCGTGTAATTTTCAGAGTTCGAAAAAGCATAGTCCATTGCAGTAGTGAATTTGTCATGAACTGATGATACAATACAATGTTGGTATTAGTGAGTCATTTTAAATTCATGAAACAGTCTTAACAAAAAGAAACAACACGAAATCGAAAAAAAAGACAAATTATGCAAAGATAAAAAAAACTAAAATTGAAAACCGGCAAACAGTGACCCAATAACTACATATTTCTATCATCTGCAGGTCACGATAAACATTCATTTAACAGTTAGCTACATCTACAATACACCAATGAAAAGATATATCACAATCCGCGCCCTGGTGTTACTTATTGAATAAGAAATCCGTAATCTGAAGCAATATTTGCATTTGCCATTTAACAATTTAGGTTTTCTCTCAGAGAGGTTATACTGGGAACGGATTTCTTAAGCAAGAAATCAGGTATTATATTTTGTCCATTTCTCTTAGTTTTATTTAATGAATTATTAACTTGCTTGACCTTAATTATTGAATGAAAAACATTCTTATTCCTCAAATTTCGCCTTCACAGCGGTGATATTTGGTACAAATATATTTTCCTTCCAAATTTGTATAGCTTTTAGAGAAAGGGAAGGGAATTATTCTATTCGAACGGTAAATAATCCAGCAAATGTTTTCTGCAGAGTAAGGTGTTGTTAATTACATATGTAGTAGGAAATGGAATTGTAAATGCGTTCGAACTTTTCGAATATTGTGGAGATTTTAGAAAGCCAGTTTTACTGAGCTCATGTTTTCTTTTTCCTGTCGGAAACTATTTAGTTTACCTACAGCGTTCAAAATATATACCGTATAAATCACTGAAGGCCTCAAATCATTAAATTCACTCACAAATAATTCAATAAAAATACATCTTCGAAAAGTCGAATCTTAGAATTTTCCTTGGATTGACGAATCTGAGCAGAGTTCACGTTAAATGTTATAAAATGAGATAAATATTTTTTTAAATTTATTTAGGATTCCTTTATAACATCTAGGTGATAAATATTGTATTGATCATTTAGTATGGTGGATAAAGTTGTGACTGTCGAAGGTGTAATATTATTTGCGGTGTTGTAATCTTCTTTCGCTACGCTGTTGAAGAATGTTTCACCCATGAACCCTGTTGTGATAGCTCGTCGTAAGAGTGAACGTATTGAGAGGGCATACCAGAATGAAATGTAGAGTGAACGCAGTTTTTCTTCTTTTCTTTTCGCTCCGAATTATTTTAAAATCATACTTCGTGCTGCTAGTGGTTACTCGGAAGCATTTGCCCAACTTTCTCCTCGTGTAGGAGTGGTGTTTGCGAACCGCGGGCGAACATGGCATAGTCGTTCCCGAAACCTGGCCACCATTGTCGAAATTCGCACACACAATACATCCGAGAAATGGCCCGTAGATACGAAAGGACCTCTGAAACTCGGGCCGAACCCCTCCTCTGTCCGGGCCCCCTCGCACTTGTTCAAGGGCGCGGGAGGGCGTTTTCGCAAGTGGGTCGAAGGGAGGGGGCGGGGCCTAAGACGGGCTACCTGCGCCGCCCGCACCTTACTCGCGGCCGCCCCGAGTGCGAATCCACCGAAAGAGATCTGGCGGCGGCGACTACTGCGCGATCTAGCATTCGGTTCCAGTACTTTAACCCTGTTGCTCACGGTGAAGTGCTTTTTTGTTTAATTATATGAAACTAGTCTGAAACGTATTGTTCACATTCAAATTTAGTAGTATATTATGCAACTAATTTATGTTGAGCTATATTGCAAAAGTGAAAGTTTGGAAAACAGACATTACGTGCCAGTTTCAAACTTGTACTAATGCAATAAAGAATATTATGAAAGAGTTGCATACGCTATTTTTTTTGTATGACATTATAAATTTATAAGTAATTCAGGCGGTTTTGCCAAAAACGTACTTGTGATGTCTCCAGATTTTTATGTGGTAAATTTTAGCAATAGCAAAAACCACGAAATGTAACCTAACTCTAAAAAAAGAGGGGGGGAGTTTGTTTTTCGTTGCAGTACATTTCTAAATGATTTCAATCTGTGATAAATGCGTAATCACGTACAAATTGCAAAATCGTCGTTAATACTAGATATAATCGCTAAATTTCATATAATGGTTTCCTTCGTGTTAGCTCTTACCAGGGATGCAACATCTCCACATCGATGTTTGGAACAATTTAATGAAGCCGAATGATTTTTCACTCAATATAGTTTAACAATCTTCTGTCACAATCAATTAAAGGAAATCAACACTGAGATATGCTCTTAGTTAATTTTCCACAGAGTGTTACATATTGGTAATGGGATTTACATTAATTTATTTTAACAAAATACAAGTATTTAAGAAGTATGTTGTTTTAATAAGCATTTGCATGTTGAAAGCAAACACTTTCCTCTCCTTTTTAGTGGTGGTTGAGAAGCCTGTAGTTCTATACAAGACGAATAACTCTGGATTTAGAATTGCTTCTTTCAATATATAAGAAGTTAATTTCCTAACTTGAATGGGGAAACTCTAACAAGCATCAGAACATTTTATCTTAAAGATACCTGCCCTAATAATTTCTCAACAAATGCTAAATCTTAATATTTTATTTGCTATATCTTATTTTCAAAATACGGTTTAAAAAAATATAAATGCCAAAT